ATATATATATAATAATTGGTTACAAATAAGGCGCGCTGGCAACCTTTACTTCCTTTAATAAACAGTAAAGCGCGTGTTAACGTACATGCGTGACGGTGATGGCGCAGAAGCGCCAGAAGTGACTCTCCAGTAATAAATATATCCCTTATATTAAGCGCTGGGTGTAGTTCACTTCATCTACCAGAGCGGCATCGCGGGGCCTGGAACTACAATGCCCAGGCAGCCGCTTCGAAGCGGTATCGAGAAGACGCACATGCCCGTCAAGGCTGGCATGGAGTAATATCTTTTTGACTGGTGATCGCGGCTGGAGCAGTTTGCACCATGGCATTTTGAGTGATTACTGTGCCTGTGACGTTTTAATTATATTTTAATAAGTGTGAGTTTTGGTGATCATACCGGCTTAATTGCGCGGGCTCATTGATTCACCCAGATCGGCACCGGTTTAGGGCTGTTGTCGCTGTTAAGTTGCTTTTATCTCATCTCGAGGACCATCTCTTTTTAGCGTTAAAAATGCATCGCTTTCAGCGTCTGTCGACTAGTTTTTTGTTAAGCGGCCGTTTCGGACGACAGCGAGACCCGATGGAGGGGGCAGCTTTAGAGCCGCGCCGGGGCGGACAGACAGTGCGGTTCAAGGCGCAGGGACCGGCGAGGCAGTGCGGCGGCTCGAAGCGGTACAGCACGGCGGAAGCGACAGTGGAGAGTCGGGGGAACGGCGAGGTGCGGGAGAGGACGCTGACGATGGAGACGCTGAACCCAAACGTGAAGGCGGTGGAGTACGCCGTCCGGGGGCCGATCGTTATCAAAGCCGTGGAGCTGGAAAGGGGTCTGCAGGACGTGAGTATTGATGAGCACCGGCTGCGTTAATATAACGATGCTGGTGGTTATTGATAAGGGATCTTGACATAAAGTGACTGGGTATCTTTCCCCAGGGCAGCGATCTAACCCAGTCATATGTTGAAATGCACAGTGCCAGCGGGTAGCAGGGGCCGCATTTGGGTATTTCTCGGTTTATAGATGTTGCATCAGCCGAAGGTACATTCTTCAGGAAGCAACACCGAGGGCGGCGGGTGTCTCCTGATTGGTTGGGCAGTAGGTGTCACTTCCACGTGTGGGGCTGCGTGGGCTGCCGGCAAAATAACCACTAATCTTACCAGCGTGTTCCGGAGAGACGTCGTATCAGTGGTGTTTCCACGCTTTGTGTTGAACGTAACAGTCGTCTCTTATTTATCAAGGATGCGTCACAGTACGGTTCCTTGGATAGTTACACCCGTGGAATGCTTTCTGTATCTACAAAGTCCTAAAACGATCTGTACGTAGGGGAAAAATTCAACTTCTCTCTATCCTATACTGTTTCGAATGCTATTTTTTCGTTGTACCAGTAATACTCTTAGCTTTAGATTGGGGTGTAGAAGATGCCTCCTAGATTTAAGTTCCGTGATTTAGGCCCTCCTTTAACCTGACATCATTCCACTCACACACATTATGGTCGAATGCATTAATTCAGTCCTTCAGGAGGTTGTATACCTTTGGCCAGCATTGCTGTTGGGTCAGGAGGAAGGTGAATTTGCCTGATGCTGAGCTGTGACAGTGCTTGTATTAGCTTAACCATGAGGCTGCAGCTTTTCGTACCCGTGTAGACGTCTGCGCCCCATCTTCTGGCACGCTAGCCTTTGCTGCGACTGCGATGTCCCAACGGCAGTTCAGTAGCTACTGAAAATAGCACCATAACAGGTGGCCGTCTTGGGAAAGTTTTATCCCGTCCCGAGATGCCCTGTATGGTCACACACCTGCTGAACCATTTGACCCCTTAAGTGGATTTTTATACCCATAATTTAGAAATTAATGGTAATGAAGACAAAGTGTCGTCAGAGATCAGAGCTAACGAAATTTCAGCGTTCCTCTCGCCTCTACATGTGGTTATTTTTTGGTTAGCTAAGTATGTGATGGGTGTACAAGACGACTTTCGCAAAAGCTGTCTGGACTACGCTTTGTTTTTACGTGACGTGGGTCCTTGAAGGGTGAGCCTAGCATGACCACTGAAAGGGAGCTCGTTTGACGTTTAGAGCCAAGCCAAGACGTAAACAATGGCAACGATTCTGGATGTGAAGTTTACGGAATGTGCTGGAATCTGACCAATTAGTGGGGAAGGTGGTGTATGGGGTGGAAAATTACACCTGAACTGTAGTGGCATTCTCTCTCCTTCAGGGGATGAAGCAGCCGTTTGCAGAGGTCATTAAGGCCAACATCGGGGACGCTCACGCCATGGGACAGCAGCCAATCACCTTCCTGCGACAGGTGGGTGCCGGGTTTGAGCAGCTCCTGAATCTCTCCTTTTTCTTATTACTGCATCACGACTCACTGAGGGGCATCAATCAATCAGGCGTCCCTGAACTATAATTAGTTTAGTAGAGGAAGTTGTTAATTATCAACAAGCATCTAGCTGAGGACTGAAATCAGTATTTATGGCGAAAAGAATTTCTCGTTAACTTTTTTTTCATGAAAGCTGTATCTATAAAGAGGGAAAAACCCACTAAATTGAGTCTGGCACCTCCCAGCAGACAGGCTGGCTATTTTTAGCTGGTTAAGTTCTTGCCTAATTTGCCAAAAGGTGGCCTGTCTCTCCGTGAGGTCATCTGGCTGGACCAGCGTTTCTGTTTATCCAGTGAAACAGAGAGACTTCGTCTAGCTGGTGCCCGCCACCTGTTTCCAGGCAACGGAAAGGGCGCTTAAAATAATCCAAAACGAAGCTGTCCATTTAACGTCCCACTGTCAGCTCTGGGGGAAAACAAGGACTACGCGTGGAAACGGCCACTTTTAAGGCAGGGTATTCTAGGCTGTCTGGGGCTGGGGGACTGTTCCCTACCATAACTCTCCACGTTGCTGTGGGGTTCAGGAGGCTCATCACCCCTGGAACAAAGGCCCTGATGGGGGTGTTTTTATAGCCTGTCCTGGCGGCGTGCCTGAATGGGTGTACGTAGCCCCTTGGTCACCAAGGCTGCTCGCTGACAGTGACTGATGATGTGACGTATGGCCGTGTAGGAGAAACCGGAAAGGCACATAACAAGGATACGTTTTCTGATCTCAGGTGTGTCTGCTGAAAAGTGTAATTTAATTGTCGCAATATTAATTGTTCGTGTGTTTATGTTTCCTGTTGGCCAGAAGTAAGATGTAATTCAGGAAGCTAGCTAGTTATAGGGTTTCTTCTGCAATGCTCCCCCCCCCCCCCACGCCCCCAGTCCTGTTCTCACATTGTCTTTGACATGAAACATGACTTTCTCACGCATGCCAGCTCCTCCCTGTTGCTGTGTTGCTGTCTGAACCTGTCCCGCTGCATTCATCTCACGCCATAAGGGAGCAGTTTGTGCTGACTGACATCCCCTGTTCCCCTGCTCAGGTGGTGGCTCTCTGCACGTGTCCGGAACTCCTGGACAGTCCCTCTTTCCCAGAGGATGCCAAACAGCGGGCGCGGCGTATCCTGCAGGCCTGTGGCGGAAAGAGTTTAGGTGTGTGTCGTGCACACGTTCATGCGCGTGCCGTAGGCCAGTGTCCGATAACCTCGATGCGCTTAAAAACGTCTCAAATAAAGAAGAAAAACATGCATTCAAATTACCCATAACGGTTACTTCTGCAAATATGGGAAATGCAGAACTTTCCACGTCTGTCGACGAACAGCAGTAGCAAGGACGTGTACTGGCAGGTCTGTTAAAATTGAGCGGGGGGGGGGATGGTAGAAGGAAGGAAAGGAGGCCAAGTCAGCAGTTAATGGCCAAGACGGGTGGGGGTTTGGTGTTATTTCACACAAGCGGGGGATGGTTATGTGCCACGTGAAATATACAAGAAGAAACTCGCAGAGCAAGGCAGAGCTGAACTTGTTGAAGCTCTGCTGTTTGTGTATATTCAGACTTTATTAGGTGTACATAGCTAATCTGGGGAGGAATCTCATCAGGGGAGGTTAAGCTGTGCATTCAAAGCAAGCAGCCGTTCTGCAGACAGCTGCTGTGAAGAGGCTCTTATTCTTCCACTTTGGCCTTTCTCTCAGCATCTGTGAGTCAGGCCAGCGGACAATGGCCAATCTGAACAATAAGGTTTTTCAACCGCAGAAATGACACTGACTGGGTGTGTCACGCCACAAAACTCTCTGTAAACTCTAGAAGCCGTAGTGCCACTGCCTTGTCCCTTTACCTCAACTGCAGCTCCCCCCTGTCTGTCGACTGCAGTAATTGCAAGCTCTCTCTGTGCTGGCCTGCAGGCTCGTACAGTGCCAGCCAGGGTGTGGACTGCATCCGGAAAGACATCGCCACGTACGTGGAGCAGCGTGATCAAGGCGTCTCCTGCAACTGGGACAACGTCTACCTCACCACCGGAGCCAGCGACGGCATCATGGTGGGTGCCCACTCATCTATTCAAACGCTGAGTTTTAGAGCCTGTGGAGAGGCTTTGTTTTTCTTGGGACTGCCTGCTTCACCTGCTTCCTGTGTTGTGACAGAGCATCCTGAAGCTGCTGGTGTCGGGGCAGGGACCATCCCGGACCGGGGTGATGATCCCCATCCCCCAGTACCCCCTGTACTCGGCAGCTATCTCCGAGCTGGAGGCCGTGCAGGTCAACTACTACCTGGACGAGGACCACTGCTGGGCGCTGGATGTCAACGAGCTGCACAGGGCTTTCCATGAGGCCAAGCACTACTGCAACCCCAAAGTGCTGTGCATCATCAACCCAGGGAACCCTACAGGTGTGGTGGGAGTGAGTGAGGCTTGAGGGTGCGAGGAGTGGGATGTAACGTGGACCCAGAACCTGAATGGTGAACTGACTAGTTCTGGGTTGGGAAATACCAGATGATCAGCACTGTCAGCTTTGCAAACAGGTCCTGGATTGCAAACATAACTCTGGATTCTCTTGTTTTTTTGGAGCTCTGTTGTAGTTCTGCTGTCACACCCATCAAACATAAATCTAAAGGGCGCCAGGAACGCATTCCAGCCTGCCCCCTCGCTCATGTGACCCTATTATGAGTGCTGGGGCATAGCCTCACACCTAAATTCAATGGAGTCTCTTCTTCTCCAGCATTCTGTGGATTGTAGGACCCTGCTGACTTCAGCCGCAGTCAGCTGGGGCTTGAGGGCCTGTTCTGTTCAGGCAGCCTGTAGACACCTTCCCACCAAAGGACCCAAACCTGCTCCCTGGTTAAAATGCCTCAGCCCAAGACGTGAAGCTTCCGGTTGCTTTTATGTGTCTCTTTCACACGGCACAACAGGATCTGGGAGCCTGACGCTAAATAAGCATGAGAGATGCAAAAAGCTCGTAGATTAAGCTTCACACGTAATTGGGAACTACACCACCACCCAAAAACAATGGGGGTTTAACAAGTTGTTTTGTTAAATAGTTAAGGGGGGGGGGGGGCGATCGCAATCAAAATAGGATGCAGCCTTTTATTTATATTTTAGTCATACGACCCATGATGCTTATATTTCACTAGTAAATCTGGCCTGCAGATTGATGATGTAATGTTATCTCGCTAATAAGCACTGGCAAGTCTCAGCACCGGTGATCTTACACTGAAGTATATTGGGTATCGATCGAATTTTCCGATGCAGAAATTAATCTGCTCAGTTTTTGCTCTCTTTTCCGTGTAACCCGGAAGTTTTAGCCGTGGTGCTTGTGGTCAACCAATCAAGCACTCGCTGTAAGTGCATCCCCAGTAGTTTGTGTTTGAGTGAAAAGTATCTAGTCTGGCGTAGGGACTAAAAACGGATTCTGGAACTGGCTCCGAAGAGCTACAATCGGGCCGAGTTCCTGTGGTGTGAAAGGGCCCTTTGCCCAATGAGTTTAATGCCGTTTCAAAATAAGACGCTGTAGCTTTGAGAAACCAAAATGCATGGTTATTAATTAGGAGTGTGTGTATATACCGGGTTGTAAAAATTCCATCAAAATCAATTACCTGTCATTTTCATTTTTTTATGATAATAGCATTTAGTTTTTATTCATTCCTTTTCATTTTTAATAATAATTAAAATACAGAATAATATAGCTTGTGCAGGTATGTGATCAGCATCTTCTCAACCGTAGTAGTTTCATCGACAGCACTGGTGAACGTCCTTGCTGTCGCTGTGATATCTTGTAGTGGTATAAAGCGATATAACCTACAGATGCAATGGCCTAAGGCAGCTACACAATGAGGTCATGCATGTGAGATGAAAGACGACTAGATTAGACAACAGCTAATAATATGCATCAACTGGACAGTGGTGTGAATTACTAAAAGTTATGGTCCATCACCCTCAGTGTTCAATTCTGTCAAAATGACGACTGGACTTGTTAAAAATAGTCAATGACCGAAAACATTTGGTTAAACTGACCAATATACCGGTATATACCGGTACATACTTTATTGTAGACAGCAGATTTAATGCATAATACAGCAAGTGATACTGTCATTTCTGACTTATCTCGTCCAATCCAGACAATCACTATGTGATCTCAAAAGGTAAAAGGGAAATAAACAGGGTGTAAGTCAGGATTAGTCTCATAGGCCTGGAGGATTGCTATGTAAACGTCAGCTTGGTGTAGGTTGTCCCAGCCTTCTGAGAGGCCGGCCAGCCTTGTTGGTATATGGAGTGTTCTGCAGTATACTCAGCAATGCAGATGGATCTCAATTATAAGTTGGGCCTTGCGATTTCTGTTTGCCAACTTAATGGGTGATGTCACTTTCTGCTGGCTGGAAATGACCCTTGACCCCCCCCCCTCCACCCCCAGGTCAGGTTCAGAGCCGGAAATGCATCGAAGACGTCCTTCACTTCGCCTTTGAAGAGAAGCTCTTCGTCATGGCCGATGAGGTAATTGCTTTTCATTCCCATGTGACCTCTTCGGTTTTGTCCGTGTAGCTGTTCTCGGCACCTCTGTAGGCCTCTGTTGGCTGTAGATGGTTTTGCTTCTCTGATGGCCCCGTGACGTTACAGGTGTACCAGGACAACATCTACTCCTCCGACTGCCAGTTCCACTCCTTTAAGAAGGTCCTTTATGAGATGGGACCTGAGTACTTCAAGAACGTGGAGCTAGCATCCTTCCACTCCACCTCCAAAGGCTACACGGGGGAGTAAGTGTCACCCTCTGCTGCCAGGTCACGTGGTGGAACTCTGAAATATCTCATGCATGTGTTTTTTTCTGGGTATCAGTTTCACAGATGGCTGGTCCAGAATAATCTCTTGGGTTGGCTGAATCTGATCTCCGCAAGCCATAGTTTGAGTCTCACTTACATTGTTTATGTTATTTTACTACTTGGTAGACGTTCATTTTACACGTGTTTGCAGCTTCGTGTGTTACTGAAGCGACCTGGGGTCTGGCACCTTTCTGCAGACCCCTAAGGGCGTCGGCGCCTTTCTGCAGACCCCTAAGGGCGTCAACACCTTTCTGCAGATCCCTAAGGGCGTCAACACCTTTCTGCAGACCCCTAAGGGTGTCGGCACTTTTCTGCAGACCCCTAAGGGCGTCGGCGCCTTTCTGCAGACCCCTAAGGGCGTCGGCGCCTTTCTGCAGACCCCTAAGGCCGTCTGGCACCTTTCTGCAGACCCCTAAGGGCGTCTGGCACCTCTTAGTCCATTAACCATTTGTCTTCTATAAATGACCCAATTTCTAGAAAACAGAAATATCTCTCACTTCTCTGCAAGAAATTTACTGGCTTAATTACAGTAGAAGACCAGATTATCGATCAGTTAGGGGTTTGGGCACAGTCTTGTAGAAGGCCGGGTACTGTATATTGATTTACTTGACCGAGTGTCATTTTGGGGGGGCATGACTTGCTCCTGGAGGGCACAGACCCCAGACCCCCCCATGTGCTAAACCCCCTACTCCTCACCAGATGTGGCTTTCGCGGTGGCTACATGGAGGTCATCAACATGGACCCAGAGGTGAAGGCCCAGCTGATCAAGCTGCTTTCGGTGCGTCTTTGCCCTCCGGTGTCCGGACAGGCCGCCATGGACATCATCGTGAACCCGCCGCAGCCGGGGGAACCCTCCTTCTTGCAGTTCCACAAGGTTGGCTGTTCTGCTGTGTAGCTCCACAAAGCTTGACTGGAAAGGTCACTGCCATCTCTGGTGCCCTTGCTGGCCTGTACAACTGTGCTGTAGTTCAGAAAGTGTTAAGTTAAAATGGCTGGTGAGCTCTCTGTCTTTTCAGGAAAAGACCTCTGTACTCAGCACTCTGGCGGAGAAGGCCAAGCTGACCGAATCAATCCTCAACACGATCCCGGGCATCAAGTGCAACCCAGTGCAGGGGGCCATGTACGCCTTCCCCCGCATCTTCATCCCGCCCCAAGCCGTGGGGGAGGCCAAGGTCTGTTTTTTCCGTCATCTGTGTCCACTGAGGTCTGTATTCATTAAACATTTCAACAGACGACATAAAAGTTTCAGCTGGAGTGGAACTAAAGCTGTTCTACTTCCTGAAATCCGACGCCGACTGCAGCCGAGTCATATGTCAGTCCGAAAATCAGCCTCGCGTCTGTCGCTCGTACTGTGGCTGGAGTCTCGTGACATCTAAATTTAGTAATTATGACATAAACTAACGATCAATCGACTTGTTTTTCAGTTCAAGTCTTTAAGCAGGATTGCAAAACATGGCTGGAACGCTATATACTAATAATTAAATTTCATTAGGAAAAACTTTAAGAACATTACAAGAACAGGAAACTCTTGTAACTGTCACTGAAATTAACAAGATGAAGGAATTTTGAATTCTGTTCCTTTTTTCCCTGTTATTCTTGATTTATCTGGAAAATTTGTCTAATACTTGTGACAAAAAAATGATTCTTGATCTCCCAATCATTGTGATTGTTGGTCGGGAGATTTACCCTGAATCTTTAATATTTCTTACACTTAATTTCCCAGAAATGAGCTACTCACAATTCCACCACTATCTCTCATATTGGGTATGAGATTTTATGTAACATTGAAACCCAACCAGTAGAACCAGACTGGATGAGTTGGCTGCAGGACATTTTGCCTTCTGGGCAATATTGTGCCGTTAGTAAATTCTATCTGCCTTTTGGCTTCTATAATACCGCTGCACTTGGAACAGAGCAGGTCACACTCAGTGTGTCACCAGTAAGGAGAATAATTCAGTCGTGGGCTTCAGTACTCAGCTGTACTTGAAGGGTGGGAGACCTGCTTTGTTGGTGAGAGACTTTTTGTACTGTATCCAGTTTTATGAAATCATCCTCCAACTTAAAATCACTTGAATTGAACTCGCAGTCAGTCCTGCAAACATCACACCGCAAATCTGTTCTAATGCGATTGATATATCAGTACCCGGGTTCAATACAACACGGAATTACATTTGTATTTGGGCGATTTTCAGTCTGAGACGAAAGTACCGATCGAAGATATGATCTTAGCGAGAAACGGCATTTGCATGCAAAAACAAATATCCAAAGGAACGACAGTGACGTCAATGAATTCTTCTTTTGAGGTTTTTTTTTTATTTCTCAGTGAATTGGTCGAACCGGTTTCCAATCAAACGGGATCAAACTTTTTGTACACCCAAGCATTGCACAGGTCAAAGTCATTTTTAAAAACTTTTTGAATTTGACAAATTATCATATAAAAACACCTTTTTAAGTTCACTTGCATCTGTTTCTGTAGACTGTCTGTAGCCCTGCAGCCTCATACCGTGATCCCTAGTGTTTGTGCTGTTCCCCGGCCGCATGGCGGCTGTACAGTACTGTCACTGCCACCGACGCTCAGCGATCGACAGGCTACTGAGTTTGGCATGTTCGGTTGAAACGGTTACTAGGCAATTCTGGTGAGATTTATAAGATCCATAGGAGATGTTTATGATATGATATATTAACGTATTATTATTATTTCTTATTTAAAATGCATATAATTGTATTACTGGCTGCTGGTATCGCTGTTTTAACATTTAATTCGTTAAATAAAGTTTTGGAGTGGCATTCCACTCACCATATTTATCCCATTGGATTTGTGTACTTTAGTATGCAATTTTTGTGGACACAAGGCTTTTCAGGAACCAGTAGCCAGGTTGTAGTAAGACTGACTGACTGTACTCGCATCAGTTATTTTATCTTTCGTTTATGACTCGACCAGATATTTGAGCCAATGTTGGTTTTCGCCAGCATCGAACACCCATGACGATGTTTGTTTGTGGGTTTTGACTCCCTGGGGATTCCCGTGATGATGGAGGCATTGTCTTTCAGATGCTGGGGATGCCCCCTGACATGATGTACTGCCTGCGTCTGCTGGAAGATACTGGGATCTGCATCGTTCCTGGCAGCGGCTTCGGCCAGAGGGAGGGCACGTTCCACTTCAGGTGACCTGCCATATTGTTCATCTCCGTTCGACACTGGTGGAGGGGTGTAGGAAAGCTTTTATAAGTCAGGTCTGACACCCAGTGCATTGGGGTAGTGCTGTGTGGAACCTATTCAAGATATAATCACCATTTGTGATGACGAGCAGACAGGTTTCATGGGGGTTTAAAAAAAAAGCTTTCAGAAATGGACTGTATCCGCTGACAGGCCGAGCACTGGATGAAGTATAAGTCGATGCTATGAACCTGATGTACACTCAGTTGGTCAGAACTAACTCAATATTCTGATGACTGTTTTTTTCCCCCTATATAGAATGACGATTTTGCCAACTACAGAGAAGCTGAAGCTGCTTCTGGAGAAGCTCGCTGCTTTCCATATCAAGTTCCTCCAGAAATACACAGCCCTGGGGGAGCCCTCTGACAAAAGCCCAAGCGGACAGGCTAAGGCGCACCACCCCTAGTTAGGGAATGCGTGTGGTCAAAAGTTTCCATAGCAACCTGGGCCCCATCCCCCCTCCACATCAGCGTGCTCCTATAGCCTTTTAAACCCATTGACACAATTAGAAAAGTTTGCAGTTTAGCCAAGAAAGACATCTGTGCCTTGGATCTGTAAACTGTGAAAAGAAGATACCAGCCGAAAGAGACGGTCTAAGGATCTTTGCATGATGTTCACCCTGCAGCACGCAGAAAATTATGGGGCCTTAACAGAGAACATGAACCGCTGATCATATCTTATTTTTTTATATAACTTGTATAATCCTCTCAGCACTTGCAAAGCTAAAAAAAAAAAAGGTCATATAATTCCTTATCAATCTTAAATCTGCCCTCAAAATTCACTCCTTGGCATTGTCAATATTAAGATCCTGTCGGGATTTGGACAGTGCATCATGTGGTCAATTATAATTGTACCAAAAGCGCGTTAAAGCATTTAATGTACAGATGAGCCTAACCTCCGGGTCATTGTGGTAATAATTAAAATGTATAATATTTAGATATATATCAGAAATATGGTGCAATTTCTGAGAGTGGTACTGCATAGAATCACAGGCTTTTATGTATATACGGTTTGAATGAGAAAATGAAAACTTGATTTTAAGACTATTTGTTTACATTGTGATTATATCATTACCGCCTCAGACTGTTGTAATATCACTCAGTTCTATACACGTTTCAAATGGATTGCTTCACATTCGCTTTGTGGTGATATATCCCACTTGCTTGTGATGGGTTTTTGCTCACAGCTTAAGCGCAATGGATTGACATCTGCACACATGGCATTACACTTTCTGGGTTGACCTGCAGACTTATGGAGTATTTGCATTGCCGATGCCCAGTGGGTGCACTTTACTGAAAATTTCTCAAGCGTAAACCAGAAGTCCCTCTTGTTTGGTCCGATAACTTTTTTTTCCCCTTTCCTCATGTTAACTCACCTGCGCCCTCTTGTGTCTATAAGCTGAGTCGCCGCACTGGAAGCCTGCCTTCCCAGTGCCATGCTTGTGTCTACAGTAGTATGGTGAGGGGTCCTCTGCCGGAGCATGCAGATGAACTGACCGTGTGTCCAAGTCTGGTGTGTTTGTTGCAATTAACATGTCCTGGTGCAATGGGAAAATGCAAGAGCGGTTTTGTTTTTAAGTGTGATGCTCTGTGATTTGTGTTTCGCAATGCTGGGCTTTTGTTTTTGCTCATATGATTCCGATAACAAAAAAACTGCCAGATAGCGTTATTTTCATTTTTCATTGCGGTTAATTCGACTAGCTTCTTCCCTTATTACGAGACCTAGAGACGGAATAGCTACCATCGCCTGTCGATTATCTATGCAATATGTTGTCTATATCGCTTTTCAGCATAAAACACTATTTTTTTTTTCTTTAACGGTGGCAGTCACCTTCAGTTGATTTTAAATAACCCGAACAGTCACACTTTAATAGGAATGATTGCGATCTTCTAAAACTAACAGATCATTTGTTTTTAGTTTCTGGTATGGTGCCTTTGTTTGGCAGGTCAATTATTTTTGACTGACTTTGGCTATTAAACTATGAGAAATTTGTTACGCTAGGACATTTTGTGTATTTTATGTTTAGTTTTCTGTTCAGATGTGATACTTCCTCAAAACTCTAACGTGAAACTAAAAAGACAAAGTAACATTAACAAAAGCTGTTTTGGGTAGTAACCCTATTTAAAGATTACTTTGTTTTACTTTCTCATGTAAGTTTTTGTAGATATTTTTTTTTTTTCATAAATTGATTAAAACCCAGTTTTTAACAAGGTTTGTTGATGGAGTTTGTGCTGTCCACCTCAGATGAACGTTCGGATGAGCAATGCGCAGTTTCTTCTCTTCATGCTGCACACATTTTCCCAGCAGATGAAAACACCGCCGTCACACGATAAGAGACGTTTTGCAATGTTTGATCGGCGGCACCTGCGGTGGCTGTTCCTGTTTTTACTTATTTTTATTGTTGTGCGGCCAGCATTAAGGACATAGATACAATTTCAAAAGCGATGGGATGTTTTAGGCGGGGGTCACTCAGCTGTATCTAGGCTATACATTTTTTTTCTATCTTGCTAAATAAGTTTTATAAATTGCTTCAACTTAAATGTGACCGTGGTGCCATGCACTCTACGAATCAAATTAACATCTCTTAAACTTTTGACCGACATAAGTCGTTTATTTTCATTAAAACTTCCTAGGGGTATGTTTCTTCATGCCAAGTACGTCGACCGCGCGGTTCGTGATTTAAAAAGAGCTATACCGCCATCGTGTGGACGATACTTGTTATTGCAGTTCTGTGATTTACGGTTAATAATAAATTTAATACATTAATTAATTTAATTAAACACTAATGAATCTCCAAAACGTTAGCTCTGGTTAGTTAATACGATACACCTGGTGACCACACCGGTTCGAAATTTTGGAAAAGGAAATAGCGTAGTTAATTAAAGCAGCAGACGCGGAGAAGCGGCTGATACGAGTAACTATGCCGGTGAGAAAGGTCAGGAAAACCAGCGCAAAGGCTGAAGGGGACGGCGAAGGGCAGTTAAGTAACGAACAACATGAAAAACGGAAGCGGCTTTTTATGCAGCAGTTTGAAAAAGAAGGTAGGCTACCTGCCATCCCTACTAGCAGGCGGAGTTTAATTGTGGTCCCGCCTTTCATAAAAAGCTCAATTATGGGTTAAATCTTACTACAAGAAATGATTTTTGACAACAGCACAGGACCGGCTGAATGAGATGGACGGCAAGATGGAGCAGATCCTGGCCACTGTGGAGCGGGTATGTAGGGTGGAAATGATGAAGATGCCGCCAGCCATGCTGCGCACCCGAATTAAGGACCTGATGTGCGGTAAGTCGGCGAGTTTTACTGAGCACGCATAATGATTAGTTAATACTCGTTCTATTTTTTTTTTTTTTTATTATACAATTTTTATTTATTTTTTTTAGAGGAAGATACTCCAGTCGGAGAAGTCACCATCGCGATCAAGGTACGGCTTGCTGTGCGGTGAGACGTTGCTTCAGTGACCGTGTTTCCACTCTGAAACCTGCCGTCACGATCTGCCCCCACCCACCCAGAACGAGTCTACAGAGATCAATCAACCCCTGACTAGGAAGCCGAGCAAAAAAGGTACCTTTTCATGAGGTGGTGATGACAATTTCCTCAAAGGGGATCCTTATCCATCACCCCTCCCTCTTCAGGCCAGACAAATGCATCTGCTCCAAGACTGCAAAGAACTTTGTCAGTTCAAAGCAAAAAGGCCACAAAGGAAGTATCTCGGGTGAATTTTATTTTTTTCTGTGTGTACTGCATACTTTGTGGGTGAAGTGGGACTCTCTTGAAGACTTGTTTCTTGTCTGACAGATGACCAAGTCGAGATCACTTGCAAATGCAGCAGATTCCTTCAAGACCCCCCGGTAACTCTTTGGCCACATTGGCCAGGTCGACTAGAACTGCAACTGCCCTGCATGTGTTAACATTATTGAATGCTGCCTTTTCAGGGTAACCACAACTCAAACCGCTAAGAGGACTCGAAGGTGTGTTTCCAAAATCAGTGACCCCACTTCTGCTAAAACCCAGGAAAGGTTAGGACAGCCCACCCCTACATATCAATGGAGGGGACATGATGCTCAAAGTAACGTCGTATTCTGTGTTTTAAAGATCCAAACACCTCCTGGATCCTTTCGGCACCTCGTCTCTGATGGCCACAGCAACAGTGTCCACTTCTGGTGGTGAGGTGAGCTGAACATAGTCCATCTGCACCCAACCTAATTATGGCCGCCCCAACTTCTCATTCTCCTCCATGTAGACCCTGCTTCTGTCCAATGATGTCAAAGACCACATTGACATTGGGATGCTGGATGACATGGCAGTGTTGCAGATGCAGCAGCTGAGGGTGATTCATCCCCCCCCCCCCCTGAATGTTAGACCAGAGGCCTGCTGTTTACTCAATCCACCTAACCAGTGCATTCTCCCTTTTCAGGAATTGATGGATTACCTGTGTAAAAAGGTTGAAAATGGTGCTCAATGAAGAACAATGATCTAATATTTGTATTAAAGTAAATCATAATAAAGTGTTTTAAGTGGTCTGACTTGGTCTATACTAGCTTATTTAAATTACACATCTTTTCCTTTTGACCTTCAACTAAAAGGAAAAATCTGGATGGTCTTAAAGATGCTGAATGGAGGTGGTGTCCATCTTTGCACGTCAGCCACTGTAAAAGCAGAAGCACTTCTCCCTGCCATGAAGCGCATTACCGTAGGAAAATTGCTACGCTGTAGACTTGGCATGATCACTGCTCGTACCTGGGAACTAATTTTCCAGTTCTAGGTCAGATGGTCACTATGCCTTCTAGGATGACCACCATTGTGCTAATGGAGATGAGCCTATTGCAGGACCCAGTGGGGGGGGTAACACCTTACATATTAAAGGTGACCCACATACGGACAAGTTTGCAAGGACCATGAGACTAGCGGTGGTTCAACTTTTATTTTCACCAAATGACTCAGTGCACAAGTGTTCTAACATGCACCAGGGTCAAACATACAGCTTATGGGCTTGTCCTCGACTGCAGCCAATAGTCTGAGTAATCTTTGTATACACACAAGGTTCCCCCTCACTATTCTTTAAAAGGAAAAATGTAAAAAAAAAAAAAAAAACCTACAAAGGAAAACATGGTAATACTTTAAGCACTGGGTACAAGTAGAACCCTAACAATGCGAACACATCCCATAGCGCAGTCAGGACTCGGGCTCCGGGGGGGGGGCACGCTTCATGTTCAAGTCCAAGCATAACCGCTGCTTCCATCATTAGTTTAAATCTGCAGACACCGTGAGGAACCAAAAAGTTACATGTCGATCAGAGATGCTTCATTCGCCCTCTGACACTGCTGGAAGGTACAAGGGTATCTGATCTGGGTCTGGTGGGAGGGGGTGTAGATGGTAGCAATTCCAGGGAGGGAGGGGCAGGAGATTATGGCAAACTGGAACCAGATCAAATATTCTGCCACTTCATGAAGCTTTTATACTGAGGGGTGCACTACTGATGGGCACATTGGACGCCTGGTCCATGATGGCCGCTCTCCTCGTCAGAGCTGTCGTTGTACGCCTCGCGCCGGTGGCCTCCTGATGAGCTCTGGCTCATATCGTAATCCAGGAGGTCCACCTCCTCCACATCGCCCGATATGATGGGCGCCTCTGCTCTCACAGGCAGCAAGTCCTCCAGCTCCTGAATACCATAAACAGTCACCGAACATCATCCAAAATATGCAGGACAAAAACGGGGTTTAATGCAGGAAGGTCTCCCGCTACAGTGACCACAAACATGGCCAACAAGCTGCAAGCCTCAAATATCAAACATATAAAACCAAAACTCGGAGTAAGAGTCCTGGACAAGCAATGGAAAGATGGCGAGTGCTGGTTTTCCAGTAGCTAGTAAGGACAAGCAGGAAACGTGGGAAAAATGTGTAGAGAGCTGGGTTGGATACTCTGTACTTAAGAGGCAATCGGTTCATTTCAAATGACATCGATGGCTTATAATTCCACTTTAACTGCAAGTTTACAGAGCAGAAAATTTCCAGTACCACTACAAAAACTGTGCAGGCTCATTGTGCATTTTCAATTGTTTTTTACGTGAAATATCACACAAAGTTAATTCTCCGAGATACTCACAGCAAGCTTCTCCGGGCTTATCCAGTTGTTGTCTGGGAACTGCACGTCAAATTTAACATACAAGTCCCCCTTTTCAAAAGGGTTACGGTACTGTGGCATGCCTTCACCTCGCACCACTCTGAGCGAACCTGCAGAAGACAGGGATAGCCAGAATGAACGTTCACCTCCTCATTACCGAACTGATAAAACAGACTGTTTAAGAAAAACATTGTCTTATTCCCCCCTGCCCCCATATACCTGGCTCAATGACCTTCCCGGGGGGGTATTTCACGACAATCTGTCTGCCGTCTAAGTGCTTCAATGTAAACTGGAATCCGCAGAGTGCCTCCACAAGGCCTATCTTGTAGGACATGTGCAAGTCGTTGCCATCTCTCTTGAAAGTCTACAATACAAGAAACAAAGCAAATGGATTTAAAAGGACAAAAGCTGCAGCAGACAGTAACCGCTGTGGTGGAGATCCACCCGTTTAAAGGAATAATTCATTATTTGCATAAAAAAAGAAACAAATTGTAACCACACAAAATTACTGGCCGTGTGGGCCACCAAAACAGAAGTATATTTCACTTATTTATATCGCAATGGTGCTAGACTTTAGCTCAGGGAGAATCGGGGTGCAGAGCAGTGGAGCTGCAGACTGGTGCCACCTGCATGTGTCTTTAAGGAATCTAAAGGACATCTGCAGAGGATTTTAAGAGTCTGAGGATGACATGGCAATGGCAAGTCAGCAGTCCTCGCAGTACACACTCAGGATTAAAGGGACCAAAGTCATCAGAGCTCTCAGCACACGGCGGTGCTGAATACGTAGGCTACGCAGTCGGGGTAGGACTGCAAGGAATGGGTCAGCATTACGGCGTGCCATCTCCCAGGGGCATCACGCTGGTTCTGCTATCTGGTTCACCTCCCTGAGGACAAGGAAGGGGAGCTGCAATGCTACGGGCTTCTAGAAAGCTAAACTGGGGCAGACTTCGCATCCCGGAGAAAGGAAGTAACGGCAGGAGTGCCGCCAGGGTGTTAACGCTTCGCCTGGAAAAGCAGCGCACAAGGACACCGGATTCATTCCAATATAATTACGATGTGGAATTTGAAGTAATCAAGTCTCTCAGTTACTCGCATCAGCACGATTCACCAAAAGCAGGAGCACAGGCGAAGGCCGCCTTGGACAAAGGTGCCATGAGTCAAAGCGTTAAATGGAAGGGCACCGTCTTAATGCGTCACCAACGTGCCGATGCAGTTCCCAACCACCACCTCTACACACCTCATGCTCCTTCTCCTGCAGCACTAGCACAATATCTCCAGGCTCCAACCCCGGGGCCTGGTCCGCCTCGCCGCCGAAGGTGATCTTCTGGCCGTGCTTCATGCCCTTATCTACATGGACCTCCAGGATCTTTACTTCCTTCACCACCTTCTTACCCTCGCATTTTTTACAGCGGTCTTTCTCATTGATGACTTCACCTGCAAGCAAGGGTTCGAGAACATGAATGCACCAGCGTCACCATGCACTGCAGCAGAGCTGAAGGAAGCGTCTCGCCGGCAAAGGGGGAGGGACACCCTTAGTAAAATATCCCAATTTTGTGAGACTTGTCATCAAACGAGGCACTTAGTAACATTTGCGGGATCGGGTGGGAGACAGCAGGGTCCCCTTTGGTAAATTTTGCAGCAGGCTGCCTGCCATAAAAGAACCTGGGGGAGGAAGCCCCTCCACCTCAACTGAACACGGCTCACATTCACGGGAAGAAAAAAAAAACGCAGTCCTTAGGCTGATGTTAATGTAAAAGACTTACCTTCCCCATTACAATCAGTGCAGACTGACTGCATCTGTTGGACCATTCCTGGGGCGAGCTGTCGGATCATGACACGCACACCACGACCCCGGCAAGAGGTGCACTTCTGAACAGCTCCTGATTTTCCACCCTGACTGTGGGGGGGGGGGACAGTATTACACCAGAATGGCTATGGCAGCAGAAGTCCATTTTAATATTCTAACAAACAGGGGGGGGAAGCAGTACCCCAGATAGTCCACGTTTCTGCTCCCTCCCAGTCAGCTCACATTTTCACTCCCTGGCAGGGAGCCGAGAGGGAGCAAAGACCGTGGACCGTCTGGAGGACCAGGACCAGGACCAGGCTGACAAACACTTCCCAAGCCCCGGTGAAAAGCGGCACGCACAAGCGAAGCGCCTTGAGGATCGGAGCCCAAATCAACATGCATCTTACCCGTTACATGTGCTACACAGGACATTCTTGCTGAGCTGCAGCTTTGTAGTTTTTCCATTGTACAGATCTTCAAGTGACACCCTGTTGGGGAGGTGGGGGGTCAAAAGGGATCCTTTTACTCTGTTTCAAGCTGACATGCACCTCAAAAAGCTCCAGGATTCAAAACATTATCAGCGAGCCAACATTGCAGGACCACACTTTTCAAATGGATAACTACAAACCATTTTCCACATGGGAACATGCTTCTAAACGCAAAAACCAGTAAATACTTGGCGAACAGACAGTCTTTATAATCCCACATCCCCTTTAACCCCAAAGATCTTAAAATTTACTGGGAGATTCTCAGTGGCTCCACAGATTATTTGAAATAATAAATCCCGACAGTGAATCACACCAATGAAGTAGTTATTCTGATAAATCTGCTAAATGAACACATCCATCCATACCCTATAACTGCTGCTCTTATGCTGGGTTGTAGGGGTCTGAACGCTATCCTGGAAACTACAGGTACAAGGCAGTGAATAACCAACCCATGGTACAGCACTCATACACTATACACACACACCTAGGAGGAACCTCAAAACTACAATTAACTTCAGCATATTTCTGGACTGTAGTGGGAAACTGAAGTACCTGAAGGAAACCCCAGGATGATACAGGGAGGACGTGCAAACTCCACACACACCGAGCCAGTATGGAGACTCAAACCCTGGCCACAGAGGTATAAAGCAACAGTGCTAACCACTGCACCACCCCTGAACGAACACACAGAAGCTGACAGGCTAAGGACACAAGGCTGAGGGCAGCAGGTGGACTGACTCACTTGAGAGGATGCACCATGTCCTCGCCTCTCCTCCTCCCGCCATTGCGGCTCCTGCTCTGGCCACCCATGAACCCGAAGAGCCCCCCTCCAAAGATGTGGGAGAAGATGTCATCCATGCCGCCGCCCCCGCAGCCACCTTCCCGCAGACCCTGTTCCCCATAGCGGTCGTACAACTCCTTCTTCTCTGGGTTCATCAGAACTTCGTAGGCAAAGCTGATCTCCTTAAACTACCACAAGGAGTAGGAAGGTTTCACAATAACCGAGGGGCCTATCAGACAGTTTTAGACAACACTGCAAAAATTTTGAATGAATACCATAGGAAATTGATTTTATAGTATGTGCTGTTTGGCATCATGCTGAAACACATTTGAACAGGGGAAAAGTCTA